GTCATACAGTAGTTCTAATTTCAATTTTTTTGAGAAATCTTCAAACTGATTTCCACAGTGGCTGTATTAATTTGCCTCTCTCCAATACTGAATAAGGTTTCCTTTCTCTCCATATCCCCTCCAACATCTATTGTTGATGACAGCCATTCTGACTGGGATGAAGTGGTACCTCAAAGTAGTATTAATATGTACTGCAATGATGACTAGAAGTGTTTACTTTTTAAGCAGTTATTAAACGTTTGTGTTTCTATTCAGTTCACTTGCCCATTTGTTGATAGTTTTGTTTCTTTAGTGTTTGATTTCTGCTTTTTGTTTGTTTTTGTTTTTTGAAACAGGGTTTCTCTATATAACGGTGCTGTCCTAGAACTCAGACTTCAGACCAGACTGGCCTTGAACTCAGAGACCAGCCTGCCTCTGCAGTGATCAAAGTCATGAGGCAGCACAGCCCACCTGTAATTGTTTATAAATTTTGAATTATCAACCACTTGATTTTCTTCCATTCTGTGAACTGTTTACTCTGCTATTTTGCTTTTCCTTTTCTGTACAGAAACTTTTTTTTTTCAGTACAGGGTTTCTCTATGTGACAGCTCTGACTGTCCTGGAACTTGCTTTGTAGACCAGGCTGGCCTCGAACTCACAGAGTGGAACTCACAGAGATCCACTTGCCTCCCGAGTGCTGGGATTACAGGAGTGTACCACCACCACCCAGCTTGTACAGAAACCTTATTTTCACGTAGTCCCGATTTAAAAAGTTCTTGTCTACAGCAATATTTCTTCTAAAAGTTTCAAGTTTTAGATTAGGGTCTTTAATCCATTTTGAATTGACTTATGTACAAGATGAAAGATAAGAATCTTTTCATTCTCCTTCAGATAGAAACCTAGTTTTGCCTGCACCCGTTGTTAAATAGTCTACTCTCTCTCCGGTGTATGCTTTTGCCTCCTTTGTCAAAAATTAAGTGGGCACATCCTTCTCATTTTATTTTGCGATCTCTATTCTATTTCATTGATCTACCTGTATGGTTTTATGCCAGTACCAAGCTGTCCTTAGCACTATAACTTGAAGTCAAGTATTATAATAACTGCCTACAATGTTCTTGTTTGGTTTGTTTGGGTTTTGTTTTTTTAGACAGGATTTCTCTGTTCAGCCTTGGCTGTCCTGGAACTCACCCTGTAATGTGATGATATATTATTTATGATTTATTAAAGTTTGCCTGAAGATTCAGAAAGCAAAGTCAGCCACAAGCCATAGAAGCCAGGTACACAAGCTAGGAGGTGGTGGTACATACCTCTAATCCTAGGACTCAGGATTAAGAGGTAGATAGATCTCTGTGAGTCCAAGGCCACCCAGATCTACACAAGATGGATCCAGTCCTAAAGAAAAACAACTCATACCAAGATAATCTCAGCACCTGGGATCACGCGCCTTCAATCCCAGGATTAGGGAGGTATATAAGACAGGGACAAGAGTCAGTATCAGGCATTCATTCTCCAGTCACATTGAAGTCTCAGGATTCTCCAGCCATGCTGAGGACAGACAACAGGATCAGCTCTTTGAGCCTGAGGTAGTGGTAAGAGCTAGTGGCCTGTTACTTTGCTTTTCTAATCTTCAGATCAAATTTGAACCCCAATATCTGTCTCCGGGTATTTGATTTTCATGTTACACTATGGACCAGGCTGGTGGCAAACTCACAGAGATCCATCTGCTTCTGCCTCCAGAGTGCTGGGATTAAAGGCATGAACTACCATCGCCCAGCTGCCTGCAATGTTCTTATTCCTTAGGATTGTTTTGGCAATTATTGGTCTTTTGTGGTTCCATGTGAGTTCTTGTATTACTTTTTTCTAAACTTGTGACATATATCAGAATTTGAATAGGCATCACATTAAATTTGTAAGTTGATTTTGGTAGTATAGCCATGTTTACAATATTAATTTTACCAATCCAAGAACATGAAATGTTTTTCCATAATCTAGTATCTTATGTGATTCCCTTTTTTGTTCTTTTTTTTTTTTTTTTTAGTATTTTTCTTAGTTTACATATTGATCTCAGTTCCCTCTACCTCCTACCCTCCCATACCCCCCACAGAACCCCCATCCACTCCCCAGGGAGGGTGAGGCCTTCAATGAGGGATCATCAAAGTGAGTCAAATCATTTGGTGTAGGGCCTAGGCCCTCCCCCGTGTCTCTAGGCTAAGGGAGTATCCCTCCATGGGGAATGGGCTTCTGAAGTCCATTCCTGCACTAGGGATACATCCTGCTTCCATTGTCAGAGGTCCCAGTCCCCCTAACTGACACCCACTTTCAGGGGGTCTGGGTCCGTCCTATGCTGGTTTCCCAGCTATCAGTCTGGGGTCCATGAACTCCCCCTTGTTCAGGTCAGCTGTTTCTATGGGTTTCTCCAGCCTGGTCTTGACCCTTTTATTCATCACTTCTCTGCAGCTGGATTCCAGGAGCTCAGCTCAGTGTTTAGCTGCAGAAGTCAGAAGAACTGGGTACTAGTTTCCATGTGGGTGCTGGGAACAGAACACTTTGTTTGGTTGGTTTTGGTTTTTCAAGACAGAGTCTCTCTGTGTAACTGCCCTGGCTGTCCTAGTAATCTCTCTATATACCAGGCTAGCCTTGAACTCATAGAAATCTGCCTGTAGTGCTGCAATTAAAGGTATGGGCCACCACCACCCAGCTGATGCTAGGTCCTCCAGGTCCTCCAAAAGAGGACTGTTCTTAACCTGAGATATTTTTCTTTTTAAACCTGAGATATTTCTCTAGCTCACTTTTTTGTTGTATAAGTCTTTCACTGATTTGGTTATATCCCTAAATACTAAATTTTTGAAATTATTTTTAATGGACTATTTCTCCTGATTTCTTTCTCTCGGAGTATACTGGTGGTATGTTTTGCTTTGTTTTCATACACTTTTTTTAAAAATTATTTTATGTATATGGGTGGTGTACCTACATGTATGCCTGTGCACTATGCCCACGCCTGGTGTCCTCAGATGCCCAGATAAGGGTGCCAGATCCCCTGGAGCTTAAGTTATAAATGGTCTTAAGCTGCCATGTGGGGAATTGAACCCAGGTTCCATGTTCCTCTGGAAGAGCAGTCAGTAGTACTCTTAACTAATGAGCCATCTCTGTAGCCCCTACCGGGTTTGTTTGCTTGCTTGATTTTTTAAATGGATTTTGTATCCTGCAATTTTATTGTGTTTATTGTGTCCAATAGTTTTCCAGTAGACTCAATAGGGCCTTTTAAGATTTGTGCTAACTGCAAATAGAGACAGTTTGATTTATTTCTTTCTCATTTTTACCCCTTTTAGATCTTTCTCTTACCTAATTCCTAAGACTTTTAGCACTATATCAAATAAGGGAAAATGGATACCGTTGTCTCTTTCCCCATTTTAAAGGGAATGTGCTCTCACATGTAGAATTCAGCCAACAATGTGTGTGTGTGTGTGTGTGTGAGTGTACATATATAATTGTACATATGGTTGTATACAATATGTAGAAAATGAGAATGACTAAATATTAGGGGATGGAGAGTAACTGAATGCAGGTAATGGATACAAGTTATGGAAAAGGATATAAAGCTAGTTGTTTTTCTAGTTCTAACTCTGTTGTAGATTTTGGAGGGTTGGTGGTGGATACCTGCATAAAAATATATTCAATACTGAAAGAGTAAAATCCAATATGAAACTATACAGTTTCTAATCCAGGTGGCTATTCTAACTGTATAGAAGTTCATTGTGATATATAGATGTGGGGCCTTGCAAATAAGTTTATTTAAACATTAAACTATGGTAGTTATTTATAAAATCACTAAATTAATGAGTGCACATTAGATTATTGCACTCTTAGGCCTGCTATCCAAGGTTATACAGGGTTAAGACCAGCAAAACTCAAGTCTTATCTTGGTAGACTGCTGAAATCCAAAACTTGCTCCAGAATTGGTGAAAAGTACTGAGTGCCTGCAAGGGCTTAAGTTGTGCCTTAGCCACAAAAGTATCTGTAGGAGCTCTGCCCAGAAAGCTATCTCCAAAGAGCCAGAAAGCAGCCCGCAAGGCCAGGATAGTGAATCTGAGACTTGCGGTCGAAGGGACCATGGTAGAGGACCTGGAACAGGACACAACACACACATGGCCCTAATCCCTGTACCTTAATGCTTGCATAGTGGTGCACCCGCACTGCCAGGTTGGGAGGGTGGGGCTCCAGGTTGCTAAGCAACATAGTCAACAAGCCCAGAGATTCAAAACTAAAGCGTGCCATGGAAAAGGCAGAAAGTATGGGGGTGTGAGGACTTGGGGTGGGGAGGCCTGGATGCTGAGCTGGTAGATGGGCAAGGGGTTAGACAGATTTTGGGCGAGCACCCAACCATGTCTCTACCTCTCACCCACAAGAAGTCAGGAGCAGTGGCTAGGTTGGTAATGGTTGCTAGGACTGACTTCCTCTGCTACCTTTTCACTGGGTTCTGCTCCCCACATCTCTACTCATGAGGAGATAGGCCAGGAGGACAGAGGCTGAGCTTCCCTGTGTATATATATGTGCATCACACACAGATCCAAGCACACATATTTTCACACACACACACACACACACACACACACTCGAGCAGATTCATGTGGACACACTCACAGGATGGGGTTCTCTACCCAAGATATCATGAAGGGCCATTCCTTTAACCTTACCCCAACCAAAGATTAGGGATTGAGGCACAGGACCAGACCAATCCCTGGGGCTCCAGAGTTAGGGGATGCAGAATGGCCCAAGGCCATAGTAATGTGGGCTGTGGCGCACCAGTGTCATGCAGGACAATTCATCTGGTTTTATAGCCCTAAACTGGGTATATTTCTACAACTGGAGAGGATTAGAAAGTCATACCCTACTGCAGATATGCACAGGGTCAGCTAACAGTTAGGGACCTGAGTTAGGTAGCTACAAGAAGTTTCACAGAAACACAGCTGGGACCATAGTGTTCCCCCTTAGTAATTGGACACTCCCTTTCTTCCACAGAAACATGCCATCCCAGGGAGTAAAGGGTGCTCGGGAGCGGGCCAAAAAGAGTACACCAGGAGCTGGAGCTGGTAAGAAAGGCATGAAGGGCCAGTGGACCACAGAGCCTCCAAAACCAGGCTGGGCCTTGACTCAGGAGAAGCTGGCGGCCATGCTCCCCACACAACGCCACCGTCACTTGCTCTTTGGAGACCTGCTCGACGACGCAGGCGCGGCCGCTTCCATCTTTCCACGCGAGTCGGTGGAGGTACCCTACAGCATGCCCGACCCGCGCACCTGGACGCAGGCATTGGAACTACCAGCTGAGCGTCAGAATCGGCTTCTGGGCGTCCTCAAGGCTGCAGAGGCCCGCAGCCGGGTCCGCGCCCTGAGATTGCGCTACACCCGAATGCGGGTATGCAAAGGGGCCTATCGGGAGGGTCCTCGAAAGAGGGCCCACCCTGCCGGCGGGAGGAGGCAGATGGCGGGTCGCCTCTGGTCAACTCGCCACGGTTGCTCAGTAAGCTCGGTTCCCAGGCAGAGGAAATCACGCTCCTGATACGGAGTCAGGGTTCCGCGCGCGCCGCCATCCGGCTGGAACTGTTCCTGCCACCCCAACTAAAGCCCACGAAGATACCAGATCCTCTGGACCGACAAGAGGTGCGGGCACACCCGGAGAGGGTGGGAGGGCTTGTGCCTCGCCACACACTGGCCCCAGCCCCTTTTCTCCGCAGCGGAGGCGTGTTGAGACAATCCTAGAAGAGACGGTAGATGGCAGCATCTTCCCGCGATAACCGCGACCTTGACCTACTGAGACCCCGGATTACAGCGGTTCCCCTCCCTCTCACATAAAGTACTCTTCAGAGGATTCTCTAGTCTTTCCCCTCTTTTCTCCCTGGGCTCCCGCAGGGAAGGGTAAGCAAAGATGCTGCCTCTCCAACAGCCACAGTCACAGACTTCGGGGCACAAGAGATGGCCTCTCCAAAGTACGGAAATGTGGGTGGGTGGCCACTCCTATCTCCCAACCGCCTGTCCCCATCGGGCAGTGGGTACCCTTCAAGGCCACAGAGGTGGGGGCGGTGGTACTAGTGTGGAAAAGAATAGGGATGAGCCTGCCTAGACACCAGCATCCACAGAAATCAGGGCTGTCTCCCAAATTAGGGTCATTCCATCTGAGGTGGCATTCTGGGAGGGGGAATGACTGCAAAGCCAAAGCTCACCTTTGGAGAGTTCCATCGTCCCAGGATCCTGGATGGTGGGACAGAAGACTCACCCACAGCCTCCCTTTCATCAGAAACAGCCTCCTGTGCCCACTCACCCACCAAACACGGAGCACAGGAAGGAACCCACTCATCCCGTTCTGACCACTAGACTCTAAAAAGCCCCTGGTTTCTGGGTGGTTCTTCTTCCTCTTCTCCACAGCATGGGCTCTTTGCAGAACATGTGGTCTCTTGCCCCTCGGTCCCTTGGCCTTGTCCTCCTTCCCAGCCCCTACCCAGCAGGCTGCACAGAGGTGGAAGTTGTAGAGAGGTACACAGCTCCCTGGCCCTGCATGGGAGCTCCCTTGGCTCTTCGTGGAACAGAGAACACAAGGGAAGAAGAAGAGATCAAACGGTGGTCCAGAAGGGTCTTACTCACTGATGGCCAGTTCCCAGGGCTGTTTCCTCAGCTGGTCGTCTCCGCCTTCGCATGGCCCTTCTCACTTTCTGGCCTGCTGCTGCCCTGGACCTTGTTCCAAACCCAGATGGCAGCAGATCAGCAACAGCTCTCGGGAGGAGGGGAGGGGGTTTCGGGCAGCGCAGGGAAGGAAATGGTAGGTTTGGACATGGGTGTAGACAGGGAAAAGAAGGCAGTCTCTTCATCCAGGAATGATGTTCACACACACACACACACACACACACACACACACACACACACACACACACAGATTGTAGTCTTCTAATGACAGTCATTTACTGCAGATGATAGCCAATGCTGGGCTCCTCTGGTCAAGCTCCTTGTAGTCTGGAACCCAGGATTTGCCAAGTGCCTAGAAAAGCTTCATCCATGTAGTAAAGTCCTTTCCAGACCCTGCATTTCTTCATGGTGATTATAGAGATGCCTAAGATCACTGCAGTGCACACAGTGAGTAATCCATGTAAGTACCTCAGAGCGGAGGGCTGAGGACACACACCAACATCCTGAGAAGGCCGTTATAACAAGTTCACAAGAGCTCTACACCAGGTGTCAGTGCCACTTGGTCTCCACATCAGTGAGGGATTGGGTTTACAGAGTAGGCTAAGGAAGGTGGCACAGGCTCCCTTGTCTGGAGAAAATCCAGCAGGGATACAAAGCCTGTGGCACATGCACAGTTAAGTGGGGCTTATGAGTAGCTGGGTAAGGGGGGGGTCCTGCTCTGGAAAAGGGTAAACTTGGTTAAAGTTCCTTCCTCACTGGCATCGCCTGCTCAGTGCTCCTGAGCTCCTGCCTAGATGTAGGGGCATTTTCTGAGTGTAGAGCAGATGTAAAATAGCAGAGAACAAGTGGGTAGGCATGTGGAATGAACTGAGGGGAAGGAAGCGTATTGACTTCTACCCACAGCCAGTTGTCCACACTAAATACTGCAGAATCAGCTTTGTTTTGTTGTGTCCACCTGGCACTGACCCATTTCTACTGGGTCTCCCTGTTCTGAACTGTGTCCACCTCTCAGGACTATTATCTAAGGCAACTATTACTGTTCAGATGGGCTTCTTAGCCTCTACCTTGCTTTGGAATCTATCAGGAGGCAGCCAAAGGATTCTGGCTTTTTCATCAAGCCCCACGCAGCATTAGAGGAAGCCTGGTTAGCCTTGGGCTCTCAACCAGTTCCCTCTTCATTCAGACTCCCTGAGCATCAATGGCAACATCCTGCCCTTGCCCCTCACTCCATCCCTTTCGTGTCTGTCTGCCATGCTAGTCCAACTGCAGTCAGCTCCAGGTTAGTCTGTCTGCCTCTGCCCCACTGCCTGAAGAGCTCGTGTTAAGTATTTGCTATGCATCTCTGACTTCTGTGGTGAACATATTACAGCCTATGCAATTGAAAAGCATTTTTGTTAGCAAGACCCCAGCACCTGAACTGGTCAGGCTGTGATCCAGTGCTAAGGAGAGCAGGATCCACATGACCCAAGCAACCACATACGCCCTACAGATCAAGTCTAAAGGAGGGTCAGGGCCCCTGGACACTTGCCCAGAGCATGCTGGGATAATGAACTAATTCAAATCTGGACCCAATCATAAGGGATCTGAAGAGTTGGCCAAAGATTAAGGCCATTTGCAGAAAGGCTATCTTGGAGCAATTTGAGGGGTCAATAGGGACTCAATCAGGCCCCAGAAACTTTTGGGGTAATTTGATATAAGAACCTGTATTCACAGTGCCCACCAAGCTGCAGTTCCTGAATCTCCCATTCTCTGGGAAAGTTCCACAGCAGAGTGACAGACTTCAACTTCGAGTTAAATGCGATGGAGTGGGCCAGACAGGGCAGCGCCACAGGCCAATCCTTCCCAAAGGCCTCTTCGTACCCAGACGAACCAAGAAGAGCACAGGGCTCAGCTCTGGTGCCCCACGCTGCACCACCACATAAAGAAAAGGCTGGGGAAACCTAGCTAACCAGACGGAGCGCTGGCTCAATCCACTGTCTGTGTAGGACTCACCCCTCAGGGTCACCATGCCACGCTACCGCAGGACGACACGCCAGCGCGGGTGGGGCGCGGGAGCGGGCGCGGGGCGGGGCACTGCGGGCGAGCAGGCGCTGGGGCTCGAGGAAGTCCCGGCCCCTCTCTTTGGGGAAGTACCGTGGAGGCGCCTGCGCACTGCGCCTGCGCCCCCTCCCCGGCGACCAGCAGGACTTCGGATCGCGCGGGCGGTGTGACTCGGGGACTCGGCGGTGAGTGCGGCGCTGGACCACGGGCGGGCCCCGGAGATGTAGATGCCGGCTCTCTTCCCGGACCTCAGCGACCGGTCCACGTGGACCTGGGTCGCGGTGGGACCGGAGCCCACCCCCTGCGCGTGGGGGAGGGAGAGCCGCAGCAAGGTTCCCCTTTTTCTTCAGCTCAGAGCTTTGAGAAGTCATTGCTAAAGGTGGGGGCCGGAAGAACCCAGGTTTCCGTGTCTCCCGCCCGCTAGCCTAGTGGGGAGGGGCCAGACCAGACACCCGATCCAGCACCTTACCCACCCTTCCAGTTGGGTCCTCTAGACACTCGGCCCCGCGAGCCTTGGGGGTGAATGTTGCGCCCCCCTCCCCGGGCCCCACCCGAGCGGGATTCTGTGCGGTTTTCTACCTCGCGAATACCCTGGAGTACATCTTGCTGTCTGACTTAAATCCCTGCTGCTTTAGAGCACGCCCCTTCGGCAGCCAGGGTGGGGCCCAGACCGAACCTGGCCCTCCCGCCCCCATCCGCCTTTAGGTCGCTGGTGAGTGGGGCGTCATGGCGAATTCCTTAAGAAAGGGGTGGGGGCGTCAAAGACTGCGAGAGGGACCGCGAAGAAGAGACCAGCCCTCCAGATGACCCCACCAGCAGAAAGCAGTAACTGGGTGGGGGCCTACCATCCCACAGGTGGGCTTGGGCAGCAGGGTTCGCCATGGTGAGAGAGGTCTGGCCTGCCATGGAGGTACAGGTAGGATAATGACAGTGTGGGATGGAAGTGGGAATGGAACCCCTGTGAATCCCCCCAAAGGTTATGCCTTCTCTCTCTCTCTCTCTCTCTCTCTCTCTCTCTCTCTCTCTCTCTCTCTCTCTCTCTCTCTCTCTCTCTTTGACTGGGCGGGCTTGGACATTTTCTTCTGTGGAGCAACACGGCAGCCATTCCCCCAGGGAGCTTCTGTCCCCAGAGACCAGATTTGCTGCATTTGGTCTCTCAGCAAAGACTTGGGAGGCCAATGCCTGGGAGGCTTGGGGAGGAAGGAACCCTCCAATATACAGATATGGGGCAGGAAAACCCTAATTCATATTCTGGGCTCTCCTTCCCCAGAAAGAAGGGAGGCAGTAGTCAAGAGCACCCTGGACGATATGGGTGGTCCCAACTGACCTTTGCTGGGTGCAAAAGAGCCAGGACCAGAGCCTGCAGCTGGGGGAAAGGGCAGGCACCAGCATCCAGGCCCCACACATCCCAGGCTGTTCCCTGTCCAGTCAGCTGATTGGAGATGGAGCATCTGAGGGATGGTCTGCAGGGTAATCTAGAGACCTCAGGCTACCACACCCCTTCCTTTCCCTAGAAGTTCAACCCGTACAGCCCAAGCTACTTTTGTGTCCTGGTTTGCACGCCGGGAGACTTGGGAACCCACCATCTCAGAAATCGAGTCAGGTGGTGAGGCCGCCCTCAGTGTACAGAGCTCAGGCAGAGTAGGATTAAAGGGCCTCCCTCTGCTGGGTGAGGGGCTACAGGAGGGTGAATTCCATGGAGAAAGTAATGTGAACCCCGGGTTGGTGCGAGGAAGGTGGACAGAGCAGAGGTCTTAAAGCCTGGATGGCCTCCACCTGGACAGAAATGGGCACAGGCTGGGGAGAGAGGAGGCACTCAAAACTGCTGCCAGGGTGCTAATTGGATGCTTTGCTTCTGTTTCCCCTGGGGACACTGGAATTTTAAGTCAGATTTCAGAGGCCTGACAGGTTTCTAGAACCCCCTGTGAAGGTGTGGTCCAAACATCAAGAATGATAAATCGTATGAAAACCCATTGAAGAACCCAAAGCTCCAGCTAAGCAGCTGACCCTCACACATTGCCACCCCGGCCCCCATGGCCAGCGCTCCCTGCTTCTGCATCCTAGCGAGATAAGGGAAACCAAGGTGGGAGTGGGAGTGTCTGAGGCAGCTGAGGACCTCAGAGCCTTGTTGCCTGGGTACACATCTCTCATCAGCGTGTACCTCCCCACCCCCACTCCTCCACTCCTCACTTTCAGAAAGTCTGGTTCTGAGTCCCACTCAAGCACTCAGCGCCTCAGACCTAGCCCTCTGCTGTCATCTGGATAGCATCTCTATCCATCTACCTAGAGGGAGGGAGTGGTCAGAGCATCTAACCCCCTCCATATCAGCCTATAGCTCCAGTCCCCTTGGGAGGGGCCAGGAGCCGGAAGCCAAGAAAGAGGAACCCAGGCTTCCGGCTTCTTGGGGACTGAGCAGATGGGGGTGTCTTAGAGCCCTTTGTGGGAGGCCCAACTGCAGTAACCCCATCACTGACTGGGGCACTGGTGTAAGCACTGAGGCTTGGGATAGAGCTCTGAGCAACCTCCCTCTGAGGGACCTCTCCCTGAGGAGGGTACAGAGGTTACAAGGTGGGCCCAGGTCACAGGCCCTCAGTCAGAGCTCCCAATGCTCTTCTTAGATCCAAGCTGCCAGACTGCAGTGAAGGTCCAGAGCTGGCACCACAGAACCTGGGCAAGCCCCTCCACCCACACATGCCCACCCCACATGAGGCTGAGAAACAGGTAGGCACTTCCCACCTCTAATTGGGTTCCTGGACACTTGAGGCCCTTGGGGGCACAGCCAGGGGGGCAGGTGGGCAGACATAGGGTCCAGTGAATTCTGGAGTGGAGGTTGAGGCAGCCCCCTCTTCCTCAGCACACAGGACCAGAGGAGGCGGACAGGCCCCCCTCGATGTCCAGCCATGATGCAGCCCCCTCAGGACCCCCCAGTCGCAACCCCTGCTGCTTGTGCTGGTGCTGCTGCTGCAGCTGCTCCTGGTATGTGGACCTTGAGGGTGCAGCTTACACTGGGAAGAAGACCCCCCAGGGATTTGGGCAGGGGTACATGGCTCATAGGGGCAAAACCAGAGTAGGTAGATCTGGGGGTACATGGTTCATGAAGCACCTAACAGGGGTATATGGGCCTGGGGAGCAGTTCATAGAAGAGATACAGAAGCACTGAGGCATATAGGGGTGGGAAGGGGTGGCTTTTAGGACTCAGACCCAGTCCTGTTCCCTAGGCCCTCCACAGGCTTACAAGAAACTACTTGTAGGCAGGTGCCCCTGGCACAGCATCACTCTGTCCAGAGACTGCTGTGCCCTGTTGGCTGGTAGTAGTGCCCAGATCCTCTAAGGGGCTGTCTATGGCTCTTAAATTTTATGTGTATGAATGTTTTGCCTGAATATATGTGGGCCACATGCATACTTGGTACCTGGATAGGCCAGAAGGTATTGGAACAGGAGCTACAAATGGTTGAGAGCCAACATACAGGTCCTGAGAACCAAACCAAAGTCTTAGGGAAAATCAGCAAATGTTCTTAAACATTGAGCAACCTCTCAGGCCCCTTTGTGTGGCTTTTAAACCTGGTGTGCTGGGGACATTATATGCAAGAGCCAAGCAAATGGCATTCATATGGTGTCCGTGCACTCACCATATACCTGTTTATACAACTAAAAGCTGCCCAGACCCCATACTGTGTGCAGTAGTGGACACATTTGAGAAGAGACTCGGATAAAGGAACAGCTGGCCTTGGGCGGAAAGGTATTTAAGGTTTGGGGTGTCTGATGGCAGGAGTAGGGAAGGTGGTAGAAGTTTCTACTTTATAACAGTCTAACCCTACACAGACTGAGGGATCTATTGAACAGCAAGCCACCCAGACCAGGGTATAGGCAAGATTCAAGAAATGAAATGTTACTGGGCAGTGGTAACGCACACCTTTAATCCCAGCACTCGGAAGGCAGAGGCAGGTGGATCTCTGTGAGTTTGAGACCAGCCTGGTCCACAAGAGTTAGTTCCAGGACAGCTTCCAAAGCCACAGAGAAACACTGTCTCAAAAAAACCAAACAGAAAGAAAGAAATGAAATGAAATGTGAATAGGTAGGTCTCATTGGAAGTTTGATCTGTATTGTTGCTGAGAAGACAAGCCTGGTAGGCACTGAATTGTCTCCACACCCATGGGAATGAGTGTTCATTGTGGCAGATGAGCACAGACTGACAGAAGTTTCCCTTGGAAGTGCAGGATCCAGGATCAGACAGGTACAAACACATTGGAGGGGCTCTTACCCTGCATTAGCCAATGAGTCATATTGCTGATATTAGGCCAGAAGTGTGGGTTTTTCAGTGGTCTCAGGAATTAGCTGGAACTAGGCTGAGGAGTATGGTTCTACCCAGCAGTCCAGAGAGAGGGAGGGATAGCAGAAATCAGAAGAGTCCAACTGCTGACCAGGAAAGAGGCCTCAGTGAGGGAACAAGAGGATGTGAAGAAGGCTCAGCCTAGGAGCTTCCTTCCTTGCAACAGACTTACTGGTGTAGGCACACCCATGTGACAAAACATACATACATATAGCCACAGTGGTGTGTAGAAAACCCAACTGCATAAGGTAGTACCACTTTCCTTTGCCACTAGGAACCAAGAAAGGCAGCGAGCTTGGCAGGCTTCTCGGGAAAGCAAGCTACAACCCCTACCTAGCTGTGAAGTTTGGTGAGTACAGCGGCCATTGTGTGTGCATGCATGTTTGTGTACTTGTGTGCATGTCTTAAGTCTGACCTGGTCTGGCCCTAATGACTGCAGCACTCCACCAAGTCCTGAGGAAGTACAAAGCTGGGCACAGTCCTTTGACAAGTTGATGCATAGCCCCACGGGCCGCAGTGTGTTCCGGGCATTCCTGCGCACAGAATACAGTGAAGAGAACATGCTCTTCTGGCTGGCCTGTGAGGAGTTGAAAGCAGAGGCCAACCAACATGTGGTGGATGAGAAGGCGCGACTTATCTATGAGGACTACGTGTCCATCCTGTCCCCCAAGGAGGTGCGCCAGATACAGGGATAAGTGGGGGTTGGCCTGGGAAGGGCACTGCCCCACCCCCTGACCTTGGTGCCTGCCACACAGGTGAGCCTGGACTCCCGTGTGAGAGAAGGCATCAATAGGAAGATGCAAGAGCCATCACCACACACATTTGATGATGCACAGCTGCAGATCTACACCCTCATGCACCGGGACTCCTATCCTCGCTTCCTCACCTCTCCTGCCTATCGTTCTCTACTACTCCAGGGAGCCCCACAGTCCTCCTCTGAGGCCTAGGCGCTTGCCACACAGATGTTCTAGTCCTATGGGCAGACTAGGGGCTAACCTTGCCCCATTTGGCTGGAAGTAGATTCAATCCCAGTGGCAACTGCAATGTTCTGCTCTGCCCTAGCCGGCTCCAACTGTGGGTTCTCCTAGATGGTGCCTGTGGCCCCCTGGTCATGTGCCCAGGAGATGTTCTCATAGAGAGCAACCTCTGCCAACAGGTTTGTAGCAGAACTGTTTATTCCTCAGAACCAGATGTAGGACCTCAGTCAGGCTCAAATGAAGAGCGCATTTATATTTTATATGTTAATGAACTTTAAAATTGGAAATATGTCCTTATTGTACATTTTATCAAAAGAAAAAAGGCTTTCACATTCACCTGTATTCCCTCACATGCCAAAAAACATGATATAGTATTCTTGACCTTTTAAAATAAGTTTCCGTTTATCCCACAATTGGAGTAGAAAATTGGAGAAGAGGTTCACCTATCCAGACTCTACCCTGTGCCCTGCCCCACGACAGTGGCCTTAGTAGGTAACTATTCTGGGCCCTGCCCAAGGTATGGCTCTAGGAAATGGGCTCGGCTCTTAAGTGAATCAGCACCCCACAAAGGCTTGAGATGCAACTGAAGATTATTCCAAACCCTTGTGTACTTGGTGAAATGTCTTCCTAGAGGCTGGTAGGGACAAAGCTGATGGAATGGCCTCCCCAAAGTAGCTGGGCACAATGTCATCTTCATCTTACTGGTCCAATAAAGCAAAGCACCTACTACTTTGATCCTCCAAGTTGCTGGGAGTTTCAGCAATTTGAAGCTAGAATTGACCTCAGCCCAAAGACCATCCTCCCTCATGTGGTGAGCAGAGCAAAGGACAGAGCAAAATATCCTGAAAGGGCACCAGGTCCTTGGGCTGCCATGTCTGGTGAGGAGGGGTGAACACTGGGTAAGGTCCTGTTCTAACAAGCCCCATATGTCACCTCCCATACAGCCAGCATGGTGGGACACAATAAGCAGGAGATACTAGAATCACATATACAAGTGATCTCTCTAAAAAACAACATTCTCTTGCCTATATTGCCCTACCACAGCTTAGCTTAAGTGTTGTCTGAGCCCAGGGAAAAGAGGTGTTCACAGCAATGGAAGAACAAGACCCAGCTGAAGCCTGAGTATAGCCCACCAGGAAAGCCAGAGAAAGGCAAAAGAAAACATTTAATAATGAGAGACAAAGGGCAAAAAGGTGCACACCAGGCAGGCAGGCTGGGACAGGACATGCCACCTTCTGGGGATCTCCAGAGAAGCTGTGTCCGCCAAGAACATTGCAGGAGGGGGCAATGCTAGCCATGGCCAGGACAACACATCAATACAAGGGATCAGCAGAACTGTAGGAAGGCAGAGAAATGTCTGGCCAAGGCCCCACATGACCCCCTAGGGCAGAAATAGGACAAGCATGGGCCTCCATCCCAGAGACTCCCAGGAGGCTAGCTGGGTACAGTGGGCCCTGGTTCCTATTTAAGGTCTGATGTGTGCTGAGAAAGGACTGGAGGTGAGCATTCTGGGCCCACCCACCTACCTTCCAGCGGTTCCCACACTCGTTGCAGACAACATAAGTGGTCATGGGCTCATCGGAGCTGCGGGTCTGCACCTGTAGGGTGGGTAGCTGAATCCTGGTTTTGCTGCCCTGATCTGGACAGTACTGGTTTCATATCCCCTGATCTCTACTGATGACTTGATTTGAAACTTCCCAGTGATCTCAACTTTCTAGAACTAGACCTATAGAGAAGGTGGATCACCACAACAGAGACCTTTGTGGGCCTGAACAACTGGGCTCGGTAGAGTCCAGAATGTTGGATATGTGTAGGATTCCCAACAGGAGGGTCTGAATAGTGAAAGACTCAGAAGAGATGCCAATGGTCCTAACCATCTAAGAGACCCAAGAAAAAAAACATTATTTCCCAGGGCCAGGGCCAGTCTTTACAGGTAGTTAGGACTGAGTGGCCCTGCCCCTTATGCCCTAATTTAGATGACAGCAGCTTCCACAAGGCCTGGAACAGTCTACCAGAGACACCCTCTTAATCTACTCCCTTCTTCCCAAGTCCCCAATATCTCGGCGTTCACATGGTCTCCCCCCAGAATACTTCAGCCTTCACCTCCATAGCAGGGTCTGAAGGTACCACGGCCACTACCAAACAATACTACACTCCTGTCTCTCCATGATGGGCAGGGCCAAGCCACCTAGCCCTGGCACAGATCCCAGGCCAGCAGAGGTAGGGGCATAGGTAGTATCCAAGAAGAGGATGGGTATAGCCTGAGTTCCCAGCCAAGGAAGATAGAGTGGACCCCAACCTGCGTGTAGGTGCAGTTCTTCTTCCTGCACTTGCTGCAGGTGAACAGGTCAGTCTGTGTGCCACCTGTGCGGGCCATCTGATGCTCACGGATGGCCTCTTTGGTCATGGCCTTGCGGATCTCCTTCAGCTCATCACTGGCCATCTCCTGATAAAGGGGCCAAGTGTTCAGCCTGCAGCTCTACAGAAGCAGCCTGCCCTAGCCCTTCCAGTGGGGCTCACCTCTGATGTCATCACAGCTATCTGCTGGGGTGTAATGGCACCACACAACACATTTCGCCGCAGGCTAGGGTTCTTGGCATCTTTCAGGTTGGAGATCCGGCTCCGCACGCGGTTCTTGTACTTCATGTCTGTGTTTCCCACATCCAGGAAGATGCGTAAGGGTATTTAAGGACCCATCTGAGGTTTCTGAACTCCATCCCCTCCTTGGAGTTTATGGGAAATGTTCTGCCCAGCAACGTGGAGATGAGTTTACCCACCCAAGCCCTGTGGGGAAACTGAGGGGCTACAGTGTTGTGCCTTCTCTAAACCTATTCCTGTTTGAGGCCCAGCTCTACCAAGTAGTCACAGCCCCTTAGCCATCTATGGCCCAGGAAAGGTTGGGAGATCACCCCAAGAGGGCACTGGAACCTATCAGTGGTATCTCACAGCTACTGGAGAAGCACAGACTCTACCAGAAGCCTTTGCCCTGTATACACTGTACAAAGGATATACTCCTCGATCTGAGCTGACAGATGCTCACAGTCTACACCAACGGCCACATAGTCATCTGCAAGAGAGAGTCCTCATTAGTTTCACCCCTGGCTTTTCCCACCTGCCACCCCTCTGCTTACACAGCACCCTACAAGTTTAATAGGACACTTGCATTCCTGGGAGACAGTTCCCAAGATACAGGTGTTCTGGTGACCCCAAAACCCAAGCCTCCTCCCTAGGTCACAGGTTGAACAGAAGAGCTGCACCAGGTGTCGGGGGCGCACGCCTTTAATCCCAGCACTTGGAAGGCAGAAACAGGTGAATCTCTGTGAGTTTGAGGCAACCTGGACTACAAAGCAAGTTCCAGGATAGCCAGAGCTGTTAACAGAGAAACCCTGTCTCAAAAAAACAAGAGAGTGTGTATATGTTATCTCTCTGGCAGTAACCTTTAAAGCAGGCAGAGGCCTAGGCCAGCCTAGGAATCTGGACAAGTCAAACCATAGCTTGTAGTACTCACGGTCTGTTTGCAGGGCCAAAGTCAGCATTTCACGGCATTTGTTTCGTACAGCATCACAGGTGATGGGCACTGGGGGAAATGTGGTGATCCTCGGAGTGGATAAGGTCCTAGGTGGGTCTGGCTTCTTGTAGCTAGAGAGACAAAGCCTACTGGTCTCAGACTGAGCCTGTTATGCCAAGTTATTCATCTTCAGTAGCTATTGGACACCCCACTCTCTGGGTGATCCCCTGACCTTTCCTGAGCCACAAGTGATCCCCAGAAAAGTAAATGTGAACACCATGCTGACCTCCAAAGCCCATGTGCTCTATCCTGACAGACCCACAGCTAGGCCCAATGACTTCATTCATCCTTAGAATGCCTGTGAGCTCTGGCTTCCTTATCAGAGAAGGGCATTGGCTACAAGGTCCACAGCGAACCACAAATCACTCCCCAAGAGGATGCCAGATCCTTCCTCAACAATCAGCACCTCAGTAATGTTCCCTGGTAAAAGGGGGTTAAGATACTCTTGCTAGCTTCAGAATGTCTGCTTTCCAAGAGACCCAGGACATGGACCATGCTGTGAATACCTCCCAGCTAATGGCAGAACCAGGCAGACATGTCTGATTGCCTGGAGTAAAGATGAGGTGGGAGATCACCCAAAGTCAAGTCTTAATGTCACAGGTGACCCCACTCAACACAAAGGAAATTGGACAAGGATCTCAAGTTTGGGCCCAGTAAAAGACTTGCCTACCAGTCATGCTATATACCCACCAGGCTCTTTCCTCTGGAAATCAGCAGCATCAGGTGGCTTTCTGAAGCAAAATCCACTGTATAAGTGTGCTAATGAGCTCAGGACTTGGCATCATATCAGGACTGCAAGGCTGGAGTCCACAGCATAGGCTGCTGTGGCCTGGGCCTACCATCTGATCAAAGCAGTCTCTCATCCATAGCCTGTGACTAGCAGTGCCCCTAGTCTCCATGGTAACAGGTATCCCCTGACCATCTTTAAGACAGTGGTGTGGCAACACTTGAATGTGGAGATCTGAGCTGTGCTCTGGATGGCATTGCATGAGTGACCCATTCACCAATCCTGCTGAGCAGCAAAAGATAGGGTCTAAGGAAACAGCCAAAGGGATCTGGGGCTGGGCCAGCTCCTGATGGGGAGCCCCTTCTCACTGAAGGTCTCAATGATGATACAGCCAGGCAGATTCAGCCAGACATCTTAGATGGGCAAGAAGGGAACTGAGCAGTGGGACAGTATCCAGCATGAGGCTGACTCACCTTACAAATGGTACCCGCAAAGGGCCTCTCCCTCAGGGCAGTGCCCAGGCAAATAGACATCAGCCTTCTTTTCCCACTGAGGCAAGAAGTAGAAGTGCATGTACCTGCCTTCAGATATGCTACCTGAGATCCGTAGTCCCTGAGGTATCCTTTGAGGATGATGTGGGCAGAGGTGTGCCCCTCCCTTGATCCCTGGTCTTGCCATCAGAAACATCTGCCATGGATGGTATAGACTGGTCAGGAGCAGGCAGCCAGGTGCCAGCTCAGCCTCAGCCTGGCCATTATCCCAACTGCTTAAAGCCATTAGACAAGCAAGGTGCCAGGAGGCCACCAGACCTTCCTTCCGGTCCCCCAGAAAGCCCACCAGCCTCTTCAGGACCCACCCTCAAGCAAGCTGCTGTGGGACTGTTCAGGTCCAACCTAGCCAGAAAACAAGCATAAGCCTCATAAAAGGCTCCTCCTGAAAACATGGGCCTTCCCCAAATCTTGAACTGGGGACCAGAGCAAACTTGCACTGAGGCTTCTTGATGGCCATGTGACTATAATGAGGGACAGATCCTGGGTTGTCTCACAGAGGTATAGACATTATCCAGGATGGTTGCCTCCTTAGTCTTTAGGAGCATCTCTGCAGCCTAGTTGTCCGCTGTCCCCACAAACAGCTACAGTCTGCCTAGCTTATCTCTTGCAGAGGCTGGAGCATGCTGACCTGGACCTCCTTTTTTGTTGACCTCCAGCAGCTTGAAAACCTCCCCAGCATATACCCTTGTCTCAATGGTCATGCTTCCCAGGCCATCCCCTCCCCATTACAACAGGTGACATCCACCTTCCATCATCCTCATCCACTTCCAGCCCAGAGATGTATCCCACAACCAGAGAGACTGAGTAAGGCCAGCAGAGCCATCACTTTATGCTGTGCTGACCCATACCCAAGAGCTTCTTCCAGGACTTGATGAGGGACTTGGCCAGTGCAATGAGCTCCTCATCTGAGCTCTGCTTCCGCAGGGCATTGACAGACATCCCAACACGGGTGGACTGCAAGGCAAGTGGCTTGGGTCAGAAGTGGTAGGGGCCTGCTCCAGAGGCAGATCCTCAGTAAGAACTCTTAGCTCCCACAGGGAAGGGCTGGGGAATGGGCAGGGACAGAGAGACATCTTTCCCAATGGCTATGATCTCACTTGGAACCCAGAGCACCCCCTCCCACTTCACTGATCACCAGAGAGAAATCAGAAGTCTCTCCTTAGAGCAGTTATTTATGCCAACTGAGCCTTGTATTGAGTCATATAAGGAGCCTGGTCTTGGAATTGCTGTCTCTGGAATCACCCTATACCAGAATCAGAAGAGCTTACCTGGAGCAGGTGTAATGTAACAGGCATGGACTTCAGCTCCCGAAGCAAATCCATGGCTCCCTCCTGGAAGAAAAGAGGACCTTCATAAAGGACTTTAAACCTTAGCGGATCTTCCTGACCATATGGGGGACAATTTACATGTCAGAAAGAAGCCACTCCTCTGCCTTGAGAAGACCAGAACACTGCACACACCACCACAACCACAACAAGGGCTTTTTACTGCCCCTGCACTAGGGCAGAAATAGAGGCAAACATCTTAACAGTGCTCTCCTCAAAGATCAGGTGGTTTCTCACCCAGCATCTGTGGTGACCCCCAGACCTCATGGTAACCACACCAGGTCACTGAGCAAACTACTAGAGAAAAAGAAAAAAAGTCGCGGTTCCTGCTCAGCATGGAAGGACACTCAAGAGATACAGTTCAGGTTCCTCAGCCCTAGTCCATCTGTGCCATGGTGGTAGAGCAAGCGGCCTTTCCTCAGTGTGGCACTTCTCCTGGGTATTGTAACAGAACCCTGGTTTTCTTCCTCTGCCCAAGCTCTATTCTTCAATATCTACAGACAGGCTGCACCTTAAGGCAGGCTCCTCCTCTTCCTACCTTAAAGGCCTCACTCTAAGACGGCTCTTCTCCCTAGCACTTTGAAGCTTTATTCAGGTACCTCCTTCCTACAGCTGACACCCAACACTGTTGTGCTTCCGGTCCTCCAGGTTGCTGCTATGAACTCGTATCTTTTACATGCCTCAAAGAGGCAGAGAGAACCCATCCAGCCCTTCAAACCTTCGGTACTAGAGGCAGTGGGAGAGCCTGGAGCCGACCTCCAAATCTGTGATGATTATCTGCTCAGACTGCAGCCTTGTTTCATGGCCCTAAAGCAGATCCTGGTCGGGAGACTGTACACCAATCAGCCCTAAGGCTGAGAAGACCTGATCCTTGGAGCCAGGGGCACTCATCCCCAGGAGCTCTGTACTCCCACCCAGAAGACTAAAACAAATCACCAGCAGCTCTAAGGAGCCTCTCAGGTTGCTGCTACTTCCCGGAACCTCTGCCGTTTCCCTTCTCCACCCTACAGTCCTGTCTGCGGCCTTCCACTCTTGCTGGGTCTCTTCCAGTTCCCAAGCCCCTGTAGAATCCCACCCCACCTCTGCCACCTTCCGTTCCAATTTTGTCATTTGGGTTTAACACCCTTAGAGGAAAGAAGCAGGAGCAGGCCTCTGCAGTCCCGGTGATTACAGAATGTGGATGTTTGGGGCATAAAGAGGAATCTAATCCTGGTTTAGCTCCCCCCCCCAACTCTGGCCAACAGGAACCCAGGACCATCCTGCTCGTCCCCAAAAGCTGTCCTGCAGCCCTCCACTTCAAGCACAGTCGTGGGGAGGCTGCACAGACTCATGACTCAGCCACCATCTGGGCTGCCCTGAGATTGGTGCCGCGGATGGGCGGGTCATACGTAGCCTTAAGGCCACCTCCTGGTCCCTTCCCACCCACGAAAGGCAAGATGCAGGTGCCATCATCCCCTAAGGATGCTCCGAAAAGGTTACAAGGGTGGCCAGGGTCAGAAGGCAGGCTAGACTGTAGGCCAAGCCCACCGTGCCTTGGGGCAAGATGAGGGGCAGAGTCGGTCTCCTAGGGTCTCAAGGACACACGTTCATTTCTAAGTCGACAGTCTGGCCACACCGACTTTCTGTGCCTGAGGCCTGACTAGGCAGGAGGGGAAATTTATTAAAGAAATCTGGTTCTGGAGGGTGGGGGCAGACATGGGAACAACGGCAGGGCTAAGAACGCCCGCGACCCCCGCTGGGCGAGGAGGCAGTGGGCGGCTCCCAAGTCAGGTTGGCGTCCAATGCGAAGCGGCAGTCCCACGGTAGAGGGCGGGCCTGGGGCAGGGGTCTCAACTGGTCTGAATATCATTCTCCCCATGGGTGGATTCAGCCGGTTTCCACGGAGCGGGGGTCCCAGGGTCCTGGCGGCCCGCGCCCCTCACCGCGCTCTTCCTGGTCACCATCTTGTCCAGCCTCCGGGCGATCCGCGCAATCTCCTCTTCCTTGCCCATCACCACCTCGGTGGCGGCGGGTTGCGCCGGTTGCGCCGCCCGGCCAGACCTCGGCCGCCGCCGCCTAGATGCGCGGTCCAAACCTCCGCCTGGCGGCCGCGTGCAACATTAAAAAAAAAAGTCTCCGCCCACAGGACCACAACTCCCAGGCGACTGTGCGGCAAGGCGCGCGGCCCGCTGGAAAAGGTAGTTCCTCCGAAAGTCCGCGGACCGACCGCCACACACGCCCTCCGAATGCCAGGGATGAGGAGTATATACTGCGATACGGTTTTTATTTAATTCAACCCGCGTGAGCCGCTTGCCCTGGTGGTGCATTGACACTTCGCTACTCAACTCCGGTCGCCTCCACTTCGTAGAAGAGCTGTGGCGTCGGGACCTCTCAGCCAACCCTACTTCCATCGTTACCAAGCCAACTTTGGGTCGTTCTTGCCTCTATGCAGATGCAGCGCACACTGGGAGGTATGGGTCCCGGACTCTGAAAAGGCTTCTTGGGCAAGTCTGAAATCATCTTAACAGGGTGTATGTAAATCCCAGGTTCTGTTCGTTGCTCTAAGCATCATCTCCCAACCTGTGAAGTGAGGATGTGTTCGGGATCATCCGATTCACATTGTACACTGAGAACGGGGCTAGGCAATCAGGTACTGGAGAACGTCATAACCATGCCCAGGCAAGGAATGTGCTGCAGATGGTGGCAGGTGTGCTGGTGCCAAAAGACAGTTGTCTGAATTGCTGTACCCACAGTAATCACGAGGCCAGCATGCAAATGGAATGTACAAATGGCCTGGAATGACCATTTAATCTGTTGTGACATCTTCACTATAAGGAAAAAGTGTGGAATTCCTTATAGGTAACAAAGCTTTTCCAGAGGTGCAGTTCTTCAGCTTCCATGCCAACTCTAATGCTGTCCTTTCCTGTCATCTGGGCCCTTGCTCTAAGCCAAACCCAACCCTGTGTTTGAGCATTGAGTTGGTGCTTGCAGGACCCTACCACAACACAAGCAGGAAAGGAGCCACATGGCCTTCAACCATGCTGAAGGGGCTGTCCACCAAGTAGTCGTTCCAGTGATGAAAAACAGCAGCCTGTAGGTGGCAGAAGCAACCCACAAACCTGCTCAGACAGTGGCTCCTTCCAGAGGAAAGTCCAGTAGATCGACAGCAGGGAGCGTAACAACAGCCAGATCAAAGATGTATTCATTACTGAGGGGTCCTCACTTGTGGGGTTTCTACAATCCAGTCTTAGAAACCCTCATTCCCTGAGCTGGGGATAAGCTCAGTTAGTAGTGTTTGCTTAGCATAGAAGAAACACTGGGTTCAACTGCAGTGCTGCATAAAACCAGGCGTCACAGGTACCTGCCAGTACTCCCAGCACTTGGAGGCAGAGGCAGGAAGATCAAATTTCAAAGTCATCCTCAGATACGTATCCAGTTTGAGGACAGCCTGGGCTACATTAGAGAGACCTTGTCTCAAAATCAAACAGAAAGCCCTGATCCCAGACTACAGGAGCTCCAAATCCAACCTTTTGGCCCTTACTCAGAGAAGTCACCCCACACACACACACACACATACTTTGCTGACTTTGTGAGTTTTGTCTTCAGTGAAGCTTTCCCACCAAACACCATCTGGTCATTACAACATGGTCCTGTCCTCTATCCTACCCTCTAAAGGTGATGCCTGCTTCTGGGAGATAGCCTTGCTTACCTTCCTGTCCTATCTACCACTGGGGCCGTCAGAAGTTCCCAGAACACCTAGATGAGGCTCCTTCACAGTCCACCATTTGACTTTTGCACCCAACCTTCCTGGGGTACACCCAATTTTCCTTAATGCCTGCCTGTCCCTTCCTGCAGTGGATCACCAACCTCGGGAGTCCTTAGTGAGCAACATAGCCCTATTCTAGGGTCCCTGGAGTGGCAGACAATACCCTGATGGGGTGGGATTATGGGACATCCCCAGGGTCTGCCCCACCGGGCCAACTGCACCTTTGACCCAAAGCCTGCCCTTCCCCCTTCCTCAGTTCAGGAAACGGCGGAAGCTCAAGCCATTTATTTTTCTATTTGTGATCCCTACCCCCATCCCAGTCTGCCCAGAGCTGGCCCTGACCCCAGTGGTGGCCTGAATGCTTCCCCTCTGGCCAAGGCAGGGCGGTGGTGGGTGGGAAGACTCACACTGCCAAGCTCACACGGAGCCCCTTGTTTCCCCATCATCACAGACTGGGAGGCATCCTAAGCCCCAGGAGGCCCTGCTCCTGCCACCATATGGTAGTCCTTCCCCTGCACAGTTCTCAGGCCCTCTAGCCCATTTCCCATTTCGGGGATTACATGTCTCCACCATAGAGCTCTGTGGATCTATAACCATAGCCAGTCTCACCTGGACCCCAGCTTCTGTGATGGGACAGGGCAGTGACCAGTGACAGATAAGGATCTCTGGTCATTTGGGGGAGGTGGTGGGTGAGGGGCACATGGATGCTGGCTTTGTCTGTGTACATGCCAGCTCTCTGAGCCTCAGTCTCCTAGTCTATGGAATGGGAAGAGCCATGGGCTCATGGAAATGTCTGTTTGGAAAGTCCCCCGCCAGCCCACAGCCTGGCCAAGATCCAGCTTTGTCCCCTCACCCCCACCCCACCACCGCCAGAGGCAGGGCTAGGGAGGCAGGAGGCATCCCCCAGAGGCCAGTGAGGCCCTAGTTGCAGGCTTGCTCTAACAATGTGAATGTGCTTCCCCCACACAATTCCCAGAAATGCCGCCCCCCTGCCCTGCCAGCCCGCCAGTTTGGCGGCCACTCCACCCTCCTACCCTAAGGAGACCCAGGCAGCCACAGGGTCAGAGGCAATGCATGAAGCATGGAGGTCTGACTCAGAGGCAGCAGACCTGTGGAATTCTAAGGCAGCCTGCCTGCCTGCCCGGCCATGCTTGAGAGACCAACCTGGACAAAGTCAGCCACTGCTTAGCCCCTGCAGGAGCATAGTCACTGAAGATCCTTCCAGGCTCCACTGGGCTTTTTGATCCTCAACCCTCAAGCTTCACCCCAGCCCCTCCATACACCTGCTCAATCCCCAGCCCACCCCGCCCCCCTGTGACTTTAAACAGCTCCCCATCTGTGTAGCATGCTTCTTGTATGGTTTCTTCATGTGTTTCTTTCAGGTGTGGGCTCAAAAAAACAGAGTGTAGATATTGACATACCCCTTCTTATATCTAGTATTCCCAATATGGGCTTATTTGTGGATTTATTGATTTTTTTTTTTAGCCTTCCCATACCCGAATGGGAACATCTCACAGCAAAGATTGGGCTGTTTATTCTTTTCCAGTTTCCTACCTCAGAAGACAGTCTGGTGCCAGCAGGGGGCTCAGTACAAAAATAAATAAATAAATAAAAATAAAAAAAGAAAGAAAGAATTCTGTCTCTGAGCAAAGGAGTGTAGAAGTCCCTAAACAGCCAGCTGGTTCCCCACCAAGCCATTTGTCACCAGCCAGGGGGAAAAAAAAAAAAAGGAAAGAAAAAAAAAAAAAAGCATACAAAGCTGGGTGTGATTACTACATGTACAATCCCAAAACTCAGAAAGCAGAAGCCAGCCTGAGCTATACAGAGTGTTCCAGGGTCACCTTAATTAGCAACATGTTTGTTTGTGTGTTTGTTTTTGAGACAGGGTCTGTCTACATAGCCCTGGCTGTCCTGGAACTCACTGCAGGCTTTAAAATCACAAAGATCCACCTGTCTTTGCCTTTCAAATGCTGGAATTTAAAGCATGCTATGTCATGCCTGGCCCAGTTAGCAACATTTTTAAAAAAGGAGAAAAATTACTAGAAGAGAAAGAGAAGAATGGAGAGGGTGGATGAGGAGATAGATGTGTTCTTCCTCTGCCCTGGTCTCCGTTTTTCTCCATCTCCCAGTCTGTCAAGGCAAGGAGGGGCCAGCTCAACATGGCAGGGCACTCAGAATGGGTACTACCTCCCAGAAGCCCAAGAGACCCAAGTATGCCTGCAATTAGCCCACTTTATAGGCAAGGGAACCGAAGCACTCATGAAAACAGAGACAGTAATATCCACAGACCCAGGCCACGCACTAAGCTGAGAATAACAGTAACTATTTATGTAAAGACCCGCAGTTCTGAGGTGTGGGGGCGGGGCGAGGGTGAGGCAAACGGAATGGGCGAGAACACCGGCCAGCAGGGGTTGGGGAAACTGGACAGAATGTCTGGCGCCTCCTCAGCCCAGTGGGTTCTCTCTGGCCTGAAGGCCAGCCTTCCTTCCTGAGCGGCTGTTTCCTGGCTCCGCCCTGTTGTCGCCACGGAAACCCATGAGTAGCCTAGCTCCCAGCCAGGTTCCCATGGAGCCCCTGCAGAGCAGGAGCAGCAGTGTTGCTGCAGAGGCCATACAAACTAGGCGACAACATTGGAGGACATAAGTTGGCCGTGCAGCCATCTTAGACCAGAATACTCCAAAATGTTGCACTGCAGCACACCCTGTTCTCATCCAGTGACCCTAAAAGTAGACAATGCCTGTGATAACACCCTGAGCACTCATGCCCACCACAGTATAATAACTCTAAAACTCTGGAACATCATTCTTCAATACGTGTCTGATCCCTGGCCCTCTCACAGAAGCCACTCTGTTGCATGTGGCTTACTCTCGTATGTCCATAGCACTCTGGTTTACCATTATCCAAGATGATCCTGCAGTAATAAATTGCATTTGTTCTCCCATCCCTACTGCTCCCACCCAGTCCTGCTGGCCAAAGGGCACAGACTGGATGAAAGCCAAGCCATCTCTACATAACACCATAAGTATCAGTCTTTTTGTCTGTTTATTTGTTTGTTTGTTTGTTTGTTTTTTCGAGACAAGGTTTCTCTGTATGGCCTTGGCTGTCCTGGAACTCTCTGGTAGACCAGACTACCCTCAAACCCATAGAGATCGCCCTGCTTCTGCCTCCAGAATGCTAGGATTAAAGGCATGTGCCAACCCTGCCTGGTGAGAATTCATCATTCTTTACCTAAAACAGTTAACACTGGCGCTGTACATGCCACCCCTCCACCAGCCCGACTCATCCCAACACTCCCACTCCCACCATGCTCTGGGTGGGACTCTGGCTCCATAGAATTGAGAACTGAACCTGTGAACTTTACCAAGAACCCAACATTTGAAAGTACTCCTACCCACTCTTACACACATTCATATTGCATAAAAACCAAGGCAGCCCCTGTCTCCTAAATATGTCCTTCCCCAAAAGAAAGGTGTCAGAAATCTAACATGAAGCATCCCAGGACTGAGAACACAGAGCTGAAGGATCTATTAGGATGGGGCCTAGCCCACCTAAACCAGACCTATCCCTGCCTGAGAGTCTATGGCATCAGACTCTGCCAAAGGCTCTGACCCCAGGAGAGAAGTAACAATTGACCCTAGCTTCGTATTTCCCAGCTCTAGCCGCAAGAGACTGGGAGGTCAGCAAGGTTTGGAGCCTAGAGTGGAATGTCAGAAGAAGGGTCTGAACTGGAAGGCTAGCTGCAGAAAAGAATCATCCACCTGGAGCTCTGTTGCCCTCAGACAAAGACCCCACCCCACCCTGTGGGAGTGGGAGGGTCCAAGCCCTACAGGACTATGTAATTGGTCCCAGCCTCACCGCTGTACAGCAGCCAGAGCTGTCTGGTGGGAGCCTGGGAGGTCTGTGCCCAGGCAGTGCTTGGGAGGTCTCACCACCCCCAGGCGGAGCAGAGCCAAGCCAATCCCCCACCATAGGCACCAAGGGGAACTACCCAGCATCCTTGTCAGGCCTCACAGAAGTCTGGGGTCCAGAGAGGCCAAGGAAGGGGAGTAGGTGGTGTAGGCAGGAAGGAAGGGAGACAGGGTCCACTTGACACCCAAGCCAGTCTATACTTGCAGAAAAGATTTGCCCTACCATTCCAACTTTCTAGGTGCTGGGGCTATAGACAAGCTCCTACCATGGGTAAGTGCCCATCTAAGCCAAGCTACACTGAAGTGGAGTTCAGACAGATTTTCCCTTCTCTCTTTGGCCAGATCTAGGGTTGCAGCTCATCTAACAAGCCTTGGCGGTCCTTCCTTGGGTGCTGAGAACATTTTTTTGTGAGTAGGACTTCTAGTCCTCAACACCCGAGTTCCTTTTTCCTTATAGGAGAGTCCATCATGTCTGACTCCCAAGAACTTCAGCAGTCTCTAGCACTAGGGTCTACCTCACCCCACACCCTGGGAACCTGACAGACACAGACACACATGTAGACCACACACAGACACACAGACATTCACATGGAATGTCCCTCTCCTAGCATAGCTGGCCCCACCCACAGCAGCCCTGTACAGCCTTGGGGAGTCCCTCCAGCCCTGGGGCTCCAGGGTCAGGGCCACCCTGCTGGCAGACTGAAGTCACCTCCCCCATTGTTGTCCCATCTGGAGAGAGGGTGGGAGTTGGCAGCACATCACCACTGCCAAGCAGTGGGCAGGGAGGGTAGCCTGACCCTACAGAGAAAAGAGAGCACCCTGCAGGCTCCTGCCCAGCCCAGCTCACAGGATATGACAGGCTGACATCTGAGCCACAACTTGGCTATGAGGAGAGGCATTGGCTGGTGCCAGGAGAGGTGGGTGCTAGAGGGCTATGGAAGAGAACAATGAGGTTATGCTGGATACTCTGTTGAGAACATGAGGCGGATTCTGAGCTATCACAGAACTCTAAGCCCAATATGTGAGGCTGCAGAAAAAGAAAGGAAAGAAGGGAGGAAGGAAGGAAGGAAGGAAAAGAAAAAATCTAGGGGTCCTTTTCTAGAGCCCCAGTGAACCCCATCTCAAAATAGCTACTGTCCCGGCTGAGTCAGGCTCCGGGGACCCTAGCCTGGACCCTTAGCTATGGAGTAAGGGTAATTTTTGACAAAAACTGACCGAAGTGAGGTCAGTGAGAGCTCTTCTCCTTTGTTTTGTTTGGGGGGAGGGCTTTTGCATGCCAGACAAGCACTTCACCACTGACCCATGCTCCAGCCTCCATCTCTAGTTCTTTGTGCCCATTCTCAAAATGAAAACCTTCGTGTAGCTCTTCATGTCCTCGTTCACCATCCTCCTGTATCTCCTGTTCAGTCTACCCACCCACCAAGACTTGCCAAAAGGGAGCTGACCACTGGCAAGGTCCTGTAAACACTTTCTCCTTGGTGTCCACACCACTGCCTGCCTTCTGAGAAAGTACTGAGTTGTCCCAGTAGTTACATCTTACTCAGAGTTTATGTCCTGAGCTCTGACGTCTCCCCGTGGCAAGAGTATTCAGAAAGAAAGGGGCTGCTGAGGAACGGCACAGGGTGCTATAGGACTCATATGAACAAGCCCCAGAAAGCCACACAGGCTCCTTCTTTCTGTGCTCAAGGTTTGATACCCTGAAATGATAGGGAAGACTGCAGAGTGCCCAGGGTACATGTAGATGGAGTTTGTCACGTGTCATGGACAGCTGTCAAGAACATTGGAGTTTCCTCTATAAAGTTACACTTGGCAATGGACAAGGGATAGCTCTCAGAAGAAAACCATCAGTTTCTGGAGCCCAGATCTCTTCCTCGTGGAGTGGTTGGACAGATGGAAAAGGGAAATGAATGAAGACTCTTGAAAAACACCCAGTTTTCCTCTGTCTCACCTGCTCAGGCTCCTGTCTGTTCCTGGGACAGCTGTCTGGCCTGGGCAAGGAACCTACAGCAGCCCACACACAGGAGCAGGGACTGGCTGTGCCCTATGCTTTCCAGTCTACATTTCCCTTGTGGATCAGGTCCAGGTTTTGCCTTGTCCCAGAGTTTGGGTATGGCAGAGGGGATAAAGGGGGCTCACTTTTCCCCCAGCCTCAAGGGCAGAACTTGGGAGAGACATTGGAACTATCCAACTGAGCTCAGCATCTGGGAGGGTCAACCAACAAGAAGAGGCAAGAACATCTCCAAAATTCCATCCCCTTTCCCGAGGTGCACGATGAAGTGACCTCCCAAGAACTTGGTGCTAAAATAAATCTTCATCCAATCTAATGCTGCTGCCCCCTTCCCTCATTACCGCCTGGGGGTCTGACTCTGTGGGTGGGGTAGCAGCTACACTCTGAAAGCTGACAACCCTGGAGAAACCCTCCTTTTGAGCTTCAGCCCACACCAGCAGCCCTCTCCCATTCGGGGGTCTTTTCTTCAGAGACAGTGCGGGGGTGGGGAGGGCTTTGCGCTGGGGAGGCCTCAGCTGGATCCTGCCGGGAAGAAAAAAGGGAGCCACCGCAGAGGGGGCAGCCCCGCCCCTGCCCGCCCGCTCTGCTGCGGATTGGTCCCGCGTCTCTATAACTGGGATGCCTTCCTGGCACCAGGCTACCACGTCCCCACTGTCTCTACCCGACGTCTGTCAGCCCTCCGAACTTGGCTCGCAGTGCCAGCCACTGTCTTCTGCGCTCCCGCGCGGTGTTCCGCCAAGGCCTTGCCCAGCTGGAATGCAGAGATCGCCGCCCGGCTACGGCGCACAGGACGACCCGCCCTCCCGCCGCGACTGTGCATGGGCCTCCGGACTCGGGGCCGCTGCTGAGCCGCGCGGCCTCCCTGTCACCAACGTCTCGCCCGCCGAGCCCTCCTCGCCGTCCAGCCTTCCGCGGAGTCCACCGCGCAGCCCCGAGCCAGGACGCTATGGCTTAGGCCGCGGAGAGCGCCAAACAGCCGACGAGTTGCGCATCCGGCGGCCGATGAATGCTTTCATGGTGTGGGCGAAGGACGAGCGCAAGCGACTGGCGCAGCAAAATCCGGATCTGCACAACGCAGTGCTGAGCAAGATGTTGGGTGAGAGCCGAGAGCGCAGAGAGGGGCGGCTAGGGAGGGGACTTGGAAGGGGGTCGGGATCTGGGGTTCCAGGGCCAGGCGCAGGGTTCTGTGTAATATTCGCGCCACGCGCCCAGGGCGCACGTAGGGTTGGCTGGTCGTGCGCCCGACGGCAGTCCACTAACAGGCTCCCGCTACCCACAGGCAAAGCGTGGAAGGAGCTGAACACAGCGGAAAAGCGGCCCTTCGTGGAAGAGGCCGAACGGCTGCGTGTACAGCACTTGCGCGACCATCCCAACTACAAGTACCGGCCTCGCCGCAAAAAACAGGCGCGCAAGGCCCGGAGGCTGGAGCCCGGTCTCTTGCTCCCGGGCCTCGTGCAGCCGTCTGCGCCGCCAGAGCCCTTCCCTGCAGCTCCAGGCTCGGCCCGCTCCTTCCGCGAGCTGCCCACACTGGGCGTGGAGTTCGATGGCTTGGGGTTACCCACGCCCGAGCGCTCGCCTCTGGACGGCCTGGAGCCTGGCGAGGCCTCCTTCTTCCCACCGCCTTTGGTGCCCGAGGACTGCGCTGTGCGGGCTTTCCGGGCGCCCTATGCCCCCGAGCTGGCACGGGACCCGAGCTTCTGCTACGGGGCGCCCCTGGCTGAGGCGCTCAGGACCGCGCCGCCTGCCGCGCCGCTAACGGGCCTCTACTACAGCACCCTGGGCACGCCAGGTCCGTTCCCCAGTCCTCTGTCACCACCACCTGAGGCCGCGCCTCTTGAGGGAACAGAGCAACTGGAGCCTACCGCTGACCTTTGGGCTGATGTGGACCTCACCGAATTCGACCAGTATCTCAACTGCAGCCGGACTCGACCGGATGCCACTACACTTCCCTACCATGTGGCGTTGGCCAAACTGGGTCCGCGCGCCATGTCCTGTCCAGAGGAGAGTAGCCTCATTTCTGCGCTGTCTGACGCCAGCAGCGCAGTCTATTACAGCGCCTGTATCTCAGGTTAGGCACTGCCCCTGCCCTTCAGCGCTTCAGCATGTGGCCAAATGGCAGGGCCTTGCCTGCTCCCTTCCTTTCGCAGATGTATGTTAGGTATGCAGCAGCCTTTAGAGCTGGTGACCTAAGGGTGCCACCTCTGTCATTCACATACCTCCTTCTGGGGGCGCCTGTGTGTTGGGCCTTTCCTTGGAAGCCCAGGCCCTGGGTGTGCTAGCTTTGTCAGGGTTAAGGTTTTGAAACATTTAATTCTTTTCTGCCATGTATTTTCTAGAATGAGACTGTGTTTTTTACTTTGCTTTTATATACATATATAATACACTATATTTAATTTTTAATTAAACTTTTTTCTTTCGAAGGATTTCAGTGACCACTAGCATCCATGCATAAAGAACAACAGTGTTTCCCATAAACAATGACCACAGAGATAACTTGACTTTCCAGTTAGCCACACAACTGCCCTTTGTCCTTCCAGTTGGGCTGTCAGATATCATCAGCCTCCATCCAGCCTGCATTGCATTTTTCTTCTACAAGCCTAAGCACTGGCGAGGACAGCATTCTTCACTTGGGAAGAACTGCAGGGTTGTGCAGATACATTACCAGATCTCAGGAAATATTTCCTAAGAGGAACAGCATCATGCTATACACTTGCTCTGCTCCCCAAGAGGATCTGGCTCAGATATAGGTTTAGTGATCAAGGCAGTGCTCAAACCTTATGCCTTAAGCCAGACAGCTTGAGTTTCATCACACTAACCATGCTTGGGCTCCTTTCAGGAAGACCGGCCCTCTTTCCAGACAATCTCCTTTTCAAAGTCCCTTACTGGACAAGTACATGCATCCACGGAGGATGGAACAATCACCCTGGAGGTGGCCCCTGAACACACATAAATACTTCGTATCTAGTGAGTCTTCTTAGTCAGGGGCTCCCACTCTTGGAGGAAAGGCCTGTTCTACCCTGTATTCCCATATGCACTACAATGTTGGCTGATTCACCCACATGGAGTATGAAATGCCTAGCATGACTATGAAGCTGTAACCATATGGCTTTCCATGAGGGTGGCCATTTGAGATTTAGCAGCAATAACCCTGGGGCTAGGTGTTCGTGTGGGTCCATGAACAGGGACCCAGCTTCCCAGCATGTTTAGGGAGGAGTACACAAGATGTGGGAATTTCTTAGGAGTATACAGCCTCTGAAGTAAGACTGTATCATCTCTATATTGACCAGTATGAATTACATGCCTCAAATACTGGTGTGAGGGGAGCTGCACTTTGGGTCTTATCCTCTATAAGTAACATGCAGTGACAGAGGACAGAGATACATAAAAGGGACAAAATCAGACAAGAGATAGAAGATCTGCCTGACCAGTCTTGCTGCCTGAATCCATGGGAGCAGTCCCCCAAGTGTTTATCTACTTGGAATGGGGCATTTCCCACAAACCTATGGCCACACTAAGAAGTACGAGACAGACAGCTCAGAGCAGGCAGACCAAAGCAACATTCCTAGGTCCAGGGCCCTTCCCCAGTTCTAGGTCCTATACTTTTATTCCTGCAGAGGACCCTCTTGCCTTGGTTAGTAGGGTGGAGGTGCAAAGGGTGCTGGTGTGGTCCCACTGTCTCTCTAGAGAGAAGATAGAGCAGGGTGCTTCCTTAAAGCCCTTTTCCCATCTGTCAGGGAAGGAAGCTAGTAAGGGTCCAGTTTGGAGCAAGTCCAAATTTACAAGTTCCAAAGAGTGAAAATACCCCAGACCAAGATCATAAAGGGACCACACCACCAAAGACAGCAGCGAATCAGTGCTGGATTGTGTGTTTTGGCGGGGGTGAGGGGATGGGGGGAGTTCTATCATCCTACCTGAGAAGACTTTTCTCACCCCCTCAAGAGCGAACCCCAACACTCCCAGGTAGAACAACAGACTAAGGCCATACTCCTAACTCCTCATCCTATCTGCCTCTTGCCCAAAAGGTCTGAGCTTCCACCACCCACCTTTTTAAGGGCTTGAACAGTCTGTCCCTGGAGTAGCTTGGGCAACATGTGAAGTAATCCCCAGCAGAGAAGTAGGTCTGAGAACAGGTAAGGGTCTCCCCAGCATATACAATCATCACTTGGAATATTCTTGAACAAACAACAGTCACACAAAGACTCCTGCCCCAACAAGGTCAAGATGAGGTGGGCATGCCTACTTGAGGTCTAATCCCAGCACTCAGGAGGCAAAGGCAGGTGGATCTCTGTGAATTTGAGGCCAGTCTGGCCTACAAAGCACTTTCTAGTATAGCCAAGGCTACACAGAGAAACCCTGTCTCAAAAACCAGACAAACACTCGTACATGTAAAATAAAATTAAATATTTTTGAGTGTTTTGCCTACCTGTATGTTTGTGTACCACATGTATGCAGTGCCTGTGAATACCAGAAGAGGGCATCAGACTCAATGAAACTGTACTTAAAGACAGTACCACTGTGGGCACTGGAAACTGTACCTGAGTCCTCTGCAAGAACAAGAGCTCTTGCTTGGTGGTGGTGGCTGATGGCACACATCTTTAATTCCAGCACTCGGGAGGCAGAGGCAGGTAGATCTCTGTGAGTTTGAGGCCAGCCTGGTCTACAAAGAGCATTCCAGGACAGCCAGAGCTACACAGAGAAACCCTGTCTCAAAAACAAACAAACAAACAAACAAAAAACAAAACAGAACAACAACAACAAAAAAAGAGCTCTTAACCACTGAGTTGTCTCTCCAGTCCCCTATTCTTTTCCAAGATTACATTTTTTTTTTTATTTTGTGTGCAAGTGTATAAGTGTGTGGGCATGCACATGCCATGGTATGTGTGTGTGTAGGTCAGAGGACCACCAACATAATTCAGTTCTCCCCTTCCACCGTATGGGTACTGGGGCTAAAACTCAAGTCCATCAGACATGCCATACACACCAATTCCCTCTTATCTGAGGATTCATTCTTTCTCTTACATGTGTGTATTGCAGCATATGCATGTTTGGTACCCTTGGATACGAGAAAAGAGTGTTGGATCCCCTGAGACTAGTTATAGATAGTTGTAAGCTGCTATTTAGGTGTTTGGAATAATTCTTCCTTCAAAGATTTGTGTGTGTATTGGGTGTGTGTGAGTGAATGTACACACATGTGCATATGTATGTGTGGCCAGGTATCCATGGAATCCAGAGGCATCAAATCCCCTTGACACTAAAGTTACAGGCAGTTGTAAGCTATCGAAATGCATGGGTGCTGGGAGCTGAACTCAGGTCCTCCACAAGAACAATATGCTCTCTTAATCATTGAGCATCTCTCCAGCACAAAAATAATTAAACAGAATTTTCCCTATTGTTATGGCAGTAAATATCCAGCAAATGAAGGCCAAACTCAATGGGTAAATGTTTAAGACATATAAAAGTAAACTCTAATCACAGGTTTCTCGTGTCTTGTTTCATTTTTTTTATTTGTTTTTTTCTTTGTTTTGTTTTGTTTTTTTCTGAGACAGGGTTTCTCTATGTAGCTTTAGTCCCTGGAAAGTCAAACCCTGAAAAGGCTTATGTGGGATAGGAAACCCCTTCTTTCGGATTTGGCTACCCACGGCTCCACTTTGTGTGCACCCACAACTCAGGCACCCACTGTTGCCACCCATAACCCTGGCCCCTACAACTTTACCCGGTCTCCCAAGAATCTGATCCCACTCCTCCACCTCACCCTGTATCCATGCCCTGAACTCCATAACTTCATCCCATCCCCTATAGCCCCCTCCCCTGTAGCCCCACCCTCTGTCTCATGACCCCAGCCCCCACCACCTTGCCCAGTCCCACACCCCTGTCTGCCCTCCAGAAAACAGGAAGTGTTGGGAGTCACAGCTCTGGGAGTAAGTGCAGGAAACTGGGCTTATCTTGCTCTGCAGCCCTGACCCCTGGCCTTGTGCCGGGTAGGGGGCGCCAGGGGCAGTCCAAGGACAGAGCCTGCTCACCTGTTGAGTCCTGGCTGCCTCTCTCTAGAGTCACAAACTGTCACAACTGGACTGGCATCAACAGGGCCTAGCCAGTGCATCATTAAGCTTCCCAGGGAGCATCAGACTGTTGTCGCCTCCACACACAGCAGCAGAAATCCCATCTACACAGCAAGGGACCAAAGAGCTAGTACCCTAGGATGTCCCACTTCCCCCACAACAGGCACTGTACTGCTGCCAAGGGTCTGACCTTCCCGTTTCCACCCAAACAAGGACTCACTTCCCATAGCAGGTGTTACCTCTTTGCTGCTTATTCCAGATTCGACTGGAGCAGGGTGTGTGGTGTGTGTGTTTCTGTGTTTACAAAGCTAAATCTTCCTGAGGAGGGGGCAGGATGGGGACTGCTCCCCCCCCCCAGGGTCCTGAAGGCCACTGGTGGGACAATGGGTCTCAACACCTGCCTCACCCTTCTACCCCCTTCTCCCACCCCGCCCCAGTAATATGTGCTTCCTGGAGTAGAGGACCTTGTTTATTTCCAGTTAGCCACAGTTGAAGCAAGCAGCCTTCTTGCACACCTGCAGATCTTGCAAGGGTCTAGTGCCCACAAGTCCACAAGGCCAGGTACTCTGCAGGTCTGGGAGCAGATATTTCCTTCTCCACAGCCCTGCCCTGCCCAAGCCTTCTAGGAGCCCAGTTGGTTTTTTTGTTTGTTTGTTTTGTTTCATAGTGCTGGTGTGATATCTACCAATGGACTGGCCTAAGGATAACAAACTTGAACCATGCTCATGCACAGCTGCTAACTAGAAAAAATATGGAATGCTTCAGGAATCTGTGTGCCATTCCTGCACAGTGGCCATGCTAATCTTCTCTGTACCATTCCAGTTTTACTATATGTGCTGCCAAAGTGAGTCCGACTTTAGGAATGTAGCCGAGTTCAGAGATCTGCATGCTTAGCTGTGGCTCTGTGCTCACAGGGCACAAAGACATGCCTATTCTTACTGACGCCTTTACTTAGCTCTCCCACAAACCTAGGCTGTCGTGGCAGGATAGGGAAACACTGTCTTAATACAGAAGAGGCTACAGCCCTCTCTGCTGCATCATAGGAGGGTTGTTAACACACAAGTAGCAAATTGGGATTTGCAAACCAAAAGACTAGCTTGTCATCCTGCTGTTGCCCAAGTTCCAGATGTTCTTTCAAAGGCTCCTAGTCGTGGGAGGCCGTGGTACCCAGTCTCCCTTCAAAGCCTGCCAGTCTCCATCTTCCAGGATTACATATGGAGGCCTGGTTCTTGGGCTGCAGGAAATTGCACAGGCCAGGCCAGTGCCTTAGGGGATCCCATCCGTAATCCTCACAGCTCTTCTTTCTGGGCCATAGCCCGACCTCCCTGGAAAGTCAGCCCTGAAAAGGGTTGTGTGGGATAGGCAACACCAGTAGTCTCCAGCCACATCTCAGCCTCTTCACCTCCAAGGTCTGCTCTAGCTGGTCAGCAGCCAGCAACTGTGGGGCAGTTTCTGCACTGGGCTATGTTAGGTGTGCATGGGGAGGATGGATATGCCCTGCCTTCAACTACATAGAAACCCCAGGGAGCCTCCATTTAGGTCCCCGAGCTGAGTGTAAAGGACCTAGGATCTCAGTAGCATTCAATTTTCCCCTTAGCTCTGATCCTTTCTGAGGGCTCTGTAGCTGTCCTTGTATTGCAAGATGACAGTTATTCTAGTGGGTTAATAACCACAGGCTGATTCCAGGGCTCCTGCAGAGAGAGAGAGCCTTGGGTGCAGAATTCAGATGGTTTTAAATGTATAGTTGGGTACAGGGCTTAGGTATCGTCATTTATTCCCCAACGCTCTTGAGGCCTCACTTCCAGTCCCAGGAGCTGTGGTTTGATTTTTCCTCAGTTGAAGAGAGGAAGGTAGGAATCAGGACACCTTATTGTCTACCTCCCCAGCGTGATTACTCTAAACAGTAGGACAGGACAGCAAGATGGGTAGTGTCTGTGGGATGCTCACTAGGATTGAAGTGATTTTCCCAGTAAAATCTAAAGTTGAGGTAAGAATAAGTACAGATTGACTTGCAAAATGGGTCCATGGGTAACTTCATGGAATTGTCCATACTGCCCTATTTCAGCTAAGTGCCCAGACTGTCCAGATCTTGGCCCCTCTTTAGTCAAGTTCTGCTGCCCTATGGCTTACATTTCAACAAAATTGGACCTTTTCCTCTGCACTGGGACTTTGGCTATAATCCAGCATGCCTAATAGAACTCAATATAAGCCATCAATCCAGGCCCATAGTCATGCACTGGTATTTCCTGGTACAAGATGACTACCATCCAGATCCTAGAGCTAGAATTCTGCAAAGGCCCAGGCTTCCCCTCATCATTCACACCACACACACACACACACACACACACACACACACACACACACACGAGAATCATTTTAGGTTTGGCTTTGCTAAAGTCTGTGTACTTAGCCCCTCTCTGGCATACCCCCACCTTGTATTTTTCCACTCCGCCTCCTACCACATGGAGCAGAACCAAAATGCCCTGTATTTGTGCTCCAAGGTGGCTTGTGAGACCATTAGAAATCTGAATCATAGATTATTTAAATGCATACTGATATCCAGAAAGCTCCATTTCCCTTCTACACACCACACTGTAGGTCCACAGCTGATCCCAGCTCTTCTAGTACTTGACTGTGTAATCAAGGAAGTTGCTAAACCCTCTCCATGTCTTAGCTTCCTCAACTGTGGAAAGGAACAAAAGGCCCCATTGGGCAGACCACTTGTATGCCAAGGAATAGAGGCATGAAGAACTTCAGGGCTATTCCTTTTTCTTGTAGATTGCCCTACCACTGCCTTTTTGATCTCTTGTTTGCCCATCTGACAGACACAGAGCAAGGTATTCTTGAGGATCTTTGGCTCCACATCCTGTTATGAGGCAAGGAGCCTGGGGGACATTGCCTCTTTCTGTTCAGGGCTAGAATCATTGAAGAGCAGACACCCAGACTTATGTTATGTAGGTACTGGGGTCGGCCTCGTTAGTTCAACAGACAAGTCTGGGGCAGTTTGTGGAGTTGTCCCCTACCTCCACCCCACCCTGCCCATCCCCCAGGGGCAGCAGGAAATGGCCTGGTCTAGTTTGTGGCCAGGGCAGCAAGGCTGGCTTCCTCTAAGTCCTGTTTCCTTTATCCGGTTGTTTTGCTCTGAATCCACCAAGCTCAGCCTTCCCCTCCTCTCCATTTCCACCCTCTCCTCCGGTCCAGAGTTGGGCAGGACGGATGCATGACGTTTTAAAACCCCTAACCAGGTTGTGGGGTGGGGGTAGCGGGCTTCCCTGCCTTGGACACTACTTGAGGATAGGTCCAACGTCCCACCCACGCCCCCTGCTGAATGAGGCTGGAAGCTACAACTATTGCCACTGTTCAGGTGTTAAGTTCCCAAGATGCAAATCCTTGGGTGGTCCAGGGCCCATAACCAGTCAGGCAAAGGTAGAAGAATCAGGCCACATCACTAGCTCCATTTATTGGGGGCTCACTGGGTGTGTGGAAGAATGGCCATGAAGGAGGGTGCTCTCTTCTCCATATCCTGGGCCTTTGAGGGTAGGCAATCTGAGTTGAGAGAGGGGGCACTGTCAAAACATGAACCAAAGTTTGTTTCCAGTCTTCTGTGAGGGATGGGAATAAGAACAGGGGCAGTGCTACAATTCACTGGTGGCCACGGCACTCAGCGCAAAGAGCTTCTCCCAGCAGGTGGCGACAGCGTACAGGGCACGTAGCAGGAGCCGCCTCCGGCTGGGGCGCTGCTGTACTGGACGCTTCTTCGACTGCAGGATCTGCTAGTGGGGACCAGCAGTAAGTGAGTACATTCAGATCCTGCACCCTCACCCTTATCGCACAGCTCAGGCTTAGCCCTAAGGGAAGTGGGTTGCAGCCAGGCCAGTACTTGAGCCAAAGCCTCAGGCCATTGATACTGCAGTCCTTAGGGGAAGAGCAATTGAGGATACATACCCTACTAGATATTCGGCAGTGTCTGTGCATCACTGCCTTGGTGCGTATCGCCACAGTCCATGCTGCTTTCTCTAAGGCGTTGTGGGGAACTCCAGCCATGCTCCCAAGAAGGGTCTGACCCAGGGACTCGATAGACAATAGGATGCTATGCTCCTGAGGGGGAAGGGGACGAAAGCCAGGGCAGGGGGTGGGATGTGGGGCCCGAGGAAGGAACAGATAGGTGTAGGAGGGGTTACCTACCCATACCTTCTGGGCATCACAGGAGGCCCCTGGCTGTCCCTGACCTCCACCAGCTCCAGTCAGGTTTTTCTGAACAAAGTGGTGGTGTCGGGACCCAGGCTCTGTACGCTGGGCTCCCATCCCAGCCCATTGCATGGCAACCTGCAAGTCCTGGAAGATGACAGCTTGGTAGTGGCGGAGTACCTCCTGGACACTGCAGGACTGGGACCCAGCCCAGCCCAGAGCAGACTCAAGAAATGCCAGCAGCAGTGGTAGTAGATAGACAGTGGGCTTGAGGGGCACCTGGAGAGGATACCAGGTTGGGGTTGAGAACCTAAGCCTTCCAGCATAAGGTATGGCCCCATAGACAGTTGGAGTCACCACAGAAGGTGCCCCCACATCTTTGAGATGGTTGGATTGAAAATCTCATCAAACTCTGGCTATGGCTTATGAACTATGTCCTACAACATTTAGGGGTATGTAGTAAGACATCAGGAAGTACTTTCACTGAACCCAGGAAGGAGACAGAGAGCAGGTGCCATCAACAAGGGGTGGCACTATGGTCTACATTGGAGAGGCAGAAAAGTTAGCAACTAGAATATCATGGATATGCAAGGGCTCACTGGCCTTGTACAGGGAATAGGAGGGGGAGAACAGCAAGAAGTGATCCCCAATACAGCCTCACCCCTGAACATGCACAGATCCATACCTACTAGTCATAGCTCACCCACATTCCCTGATAGGATGCTTGCTCTCTCTCTCACATACATCTCATGCCCTTTGGGTGAGCAAGATGGCATCTGGGATAGAACCAGCATGCTCTCTTTCATGCTGTATGGGAACTCCAATCTCTCCCTCAAGAGTTCTGCTACAACCAGCCACAGGTACTCCTGCCCCCCAAACAAACAAACAAACAAACAAACAAAAAGCTACTAGGGCAGAAACAAGGGCTCAGAGCTCCGAGACTCCCAGTGGAAGAGGAAGGCTGGAGGGAAGGCCTAGAGACAGCAAAAGAAGCAAAGCCTGCCAACAAGCTTCCTCCAACCCCAAATGGGAAGGACTGGTACTGGGGGAAAGCTCACACATTAGATAACTAGCTGAAGGCCCCCAGGACCTCAGCTTCTCCAAATGGAGCAAGTTTCCAAACCTGCCTCTAGGCCCCCAGCTTACTTGGGCTGGAAAATTAATCTTGTGAACCCAGCGAAACGACAGGACTCAGCTTCCCAGCCCTGGCACAAGAGCTGAACTGAGCACACCACAAACACCCACAGAGGTGGGTGGGGGGAGGGGCTCCCGCCTGGGATACTAGTGTAGGAGCACCCTCTTGAAAGTCATGTTGAACCATGGCCAATGGAGGGGTGCTGAGAACAGCCCGTCACACCACATTAAGGACAAGAGGCAATTCAGCCAGTGAGACTTCTAGAAGGACATCCAGTAACAACATGGGACAAGTTGGCTGCCCAGGGAGTCCCTACAACTCAAGCTTAACCCAGTATGAGAGGATAGGATTTTGGGAAGGCCAGGACAAAAGCACCAGTAATGGTACTGGGTACCATCATAAACATCTAGGGGTTTCTATGAGGTACAGGGAAACAGCCTTCCCTGAGTTGTACCCAAGCCCAGACCCTTGGCCCAGGCCAGCATATCCCACCCCCCAAATGCTCACCATAGGCCTCTCAGGGTCTGGCCTTCCCTTATTCCCTCTAGCAGGCCACACACATGATCCTGGGGTCCTCAGGTCTTTGGGTTGCAGACGAAGTAGGCAACTGACAGCCACACCAGGTCCTCTATCGGCTGATGAGGCCTCCCTGGTGAGAGCTGGGGGGCAGGTGGAGAGGTGTTTGAAGTTGGCTCCTCCAGCAAAGAAGGGAGGGAGCAACGATGGAAAGTCCAGTAAGCCAGCCCTGCCCTTAACCCCTCCCACCCTCTATCCAGTCACTTCAATTAACCTGACTCCGGGGCACAGCAGCTGCCTGTTGCAGCAGATGTAGAGCTGTTCTGGGACTTGGATTGAGTCTCCAGCCCCATGGAGACCCCGGCTCTGTCTCAATAGTCTCTCTCCTGATAGGCAGGCCATACCCAGACAAACCTGTCCCAGCAGGCCTGGAACTTGGGACTTCCCGGACTTCTACTGCTGGCTCCACTTCATCCCTCCAGACCTTAGGGTCACCCAGGAATAGGAGGCCCAGGGTTGCTGTTCGCTCTAGCACAGCAGCAGCCTCTGGAACACAGTTAATCTCCTGCTGAACAAAGCCCAGCTTCCAGCTGAAGGTAATGGTATGAACTGGTGAGATGGCCCAGCAGGTTAAGGCTCTTACCGCCAAGCCTTGACAGCTGAGTTTGGTCCCAGGGCTAACATAGTGGAAGAAAGGATTCCTCTGACACCCCCCCCCCAAGTATGCCATGGCATACGTGCACCACAATAAATAAATGTGATACATAAGGAGTTACTGATCATCTCAGAAGGAGGGGAAAAAAAAATCCATTCCCACAGAGAGGAAAAATAACCTGGTCATTACAGGCTCACTAGACTTTTCCACAGCTCCAAAGGAAACCTTATCTAAGTACACTCTTCTGTAACTGCTCAACTGCACTCGAGTTTGAGAGCTGAGAACAGTCAAAAGGAACAAAAACCACCAACAGCCTGATGCTGTAGTCAAGTCCTTTCCCCTTCCATCTGTAAAGGAGCCACTTGAGCCGGGCAGTGGTGGCGCACGCTTTTGATCCCTGCACTTGGGAGGCAGAGGCAGGTGGATCTCTGTGAGTTCAAGGCCAGCCAGCCTGGTCTAAAGAGTGAGTTCCAGGATGGCCACTGGGTATGGTCACTCATCATAGAGAACCCTGTGGATCTCTCTATGGAACTATCCAAGGAGCTCTCCTAGATATGCCTCAGGTCAGGAGCAGCAAGTACTTCCCCAAGCCAGCACCTAACTGACCTGTCAAGCATCAACCAACCAGCAAGTCCAGATGCCTACGGAACAATGGGGCCATCTTTAACAGCTTGGTCTCCATGTGACCTTCAGCCTCTTGTAGCACAGACATAATGACGGGACCCCCACTCTACATACAGCCTATACTTTCAAGACCTTCTCCATAAAAATCTCAGCAGACCTTGGACCCCAACTATGTTTTTCCGGAGCACCAAGCTCTTGCAGGAGGCTGCAACCAAACCAGACTGGCCATGGCCACCACTCAAGGGAATAGGAGCCAAAGACAAAACAGAAAAAACAAACAAAAAGACACCCTATCCCCAACATAACTCTATAAAAATCTTTAATGAATGAAAGATATACAGTGTAGGCTTTGTGCTCATTGTCCATGTGCTGCCCTTTGCAAAGTGCTCTGTCTTCCACCCCAGCTATCAGAAGGTGTTTTTAATACGGGCAGCTACCAGCACTAGTATTTCCCCAATCTTTCTCTGCCAGTTGGTGATATCCTTGGACACTGCACACCACAGCTCTCCATGCCGGGGCTCTGCATTCTCACAGCGCTTTCTCACCTCTTCCTGTTGTTCCTGGGGAGACAAAAGGGTACTTAGGTAGGGTTTCTTCTTAGGTACACACTGAGCCTTGCCTGTCCCCTTGAAGATCTGGCCCCAGCAGAGTTCATGTTCCCCCTCCTCTTGGGCAAATGGCATCCATGTCAGTGCATCTGTGTGTTAAATTATGTCAGACTTCCTATCTGTGGTTCCCAGAAGTTGCCAGATGCACCATCTCTGAACTTGGCACTTCCTGGATTCAACAAGGTCTGACTACTACTTCCAATGAGGACCCCAGACACCTGGCTCCCTTGCCTTATGAACATGGCTCCAACAAACCTCAACTGGGAAAGGACTGCTGGTCCTGACTTCCTATCCCCCTTCCCCATAGGCTGAATAGAGCTTTCTCCTGCCTCAGAAGTAGCTAGGGGATAGGCAGGCTATTACTGAACACTGGTGTTCTAGTGCAGCCTCACCTCAGTGCCATGTTGCAGTTCAAATTTGTAGAAGAAGGCCCAGGCATCGCCCAGATCTGAATCAATCTTCACAGTGCGGTGGAACCACTCCCGTGCCTTGGTGATCTTTCGTTCACTCCAGAACAGCCTGTTATGGAACAAATACTTAGAGGAAGGGGCATAGATAGGATAGTGTCTGCTGTGCTTGGGAGTCACTCTTCTGTGTGGGTCATCAGCTGTATCTTGCTCCTGGTGAGACCAGCGTGTGTTACAGAATGGCTGAGTCATGGTCCAGGGCTACCTGGAGGTCACTCCAGATCCTTCACTGAGCCTAACTGCTTTTTGTTTTTGTGAGAAAGAGTTTCTCTGTGAAACAGCCCTGGCAGTCCTGGAACTCATTGTATAGACCAGGTTGTCCTCGAACTCACGGAGATCCACCTTCCTGGGATTAAAGGCATGTACCATCACCGCCCAGCTCCCTCCACTGCTTTTTATAACATTTATACACAGAAAGACCTTAACTTTTTTTTTTTTTTTCTTTTCTTTTCTTCTGAGAGAGGGTTTCCCTATGTAGCTTAGGAATCTATCCTGGAATTAGCTCTGGTAAACCAGGCTGGTCTCAAACTCATTGAGATCCACCTGCCTCTGCCTTATGAATGCTGGGATTAAAGGCATGGGCCACCACCGCCCAGCAAGATTTTAACTTCTTAACTTAAAAATACTATCTTTTTTTTTTCTGGGTCAAAAACAGTATGAAACTAACCTTGACAAACATTATGGTTGATTATAAAAACCTGAAATTTCAGACTGTTGCTCAGTAACTTACCAATCCTGGACTATTCTAATTTGTCCAGCCTCTTGTAGCAACAGAGCAAACACAAAGGTTTCTAAAGGTCAGCTCTATGGACCTGTGTCCACTGGAGCTGCAGCTCTATGACACTCAGACCACAGTATACATGACTGTTGTACCTGACACTCATACTTGAAAAGCAGGCTGAAGAGGAGCCTTGCAGGAAGCCAAGAAACTGGACTGTTAGAAACCAACTTAGAAGTGGGGTGTGGTGGCATATGACTTTAATCTCAGCACTTGGAAGGCAGAGGCAGGCAGATCTCCAAGTTCGAGGCCAGCTTGGTCTATAGACCAAGAAAGTTCTAGGGCAACCAGGGATACACAGAAAAGCCCTATCTCAAAGAACAAAAGGGAGGGAGGGAAGGAAGGAGGGAGGGACGGAGGGAGGGAGGAAGGAAACCAATTTAGGGTCCCCATGGGCACCCTTCCCAACTGGTAGTTAGTGTAGGAAAGCAGGATGAACAATGAGAAAGGCAGCATAGTATGCTGTGGGGAACTCTTGCGCAGGCTGGCAGGCTCAGGACTTGGGCTGTATTTACCCTCCCTCCCTTAGTGAGGCAGCTGGTGCACAGCTAACCTTTCTACTGCAGGCAGCTGTTTGGGTTGCTCTCAGGTACCAAATGGGAGTATTTTCATGCTGATAACTTGATTGCTTTTTAAGCCATGTAGTGCTCTTAATTGCTTGGTGTTAGATAAACTGTGATTTAAAGAGCATAAACTCAAGATAGCAGGCACATGGCTCATTGGCTTGGGAACAGCGAGGAGTGACTTATTTCCTTTAACAAAGCCTTCTGTGAAGTTTATGGCTGCTCTGTCTGAGGGCATATACAAGTTACTCTGGGAAAAGGAAGCCCAGGCTAGGAAGGTTGGGCCTAAAGCTTCCCTCATCTGGTAGAGCCACACATACTACAAATGTACCCAAATAGAAATGTGAAGGCAGGTGCACCAGACATGAGTACTTAATGCCACCCAAACAGAACCAAACTGGTTCTAGGGCTCTGCATCCATCACCACCACCATTGGGACAACTTTGTGCGGGGAGGTGAAAGGAAATCACCTGATGAGTCCTGGCAGCTGAGGCCTAAGCGGCTCACCCAACAGACAAAGTCAGCATCACCAGGCAAAAGATGCTGGCAAAACTACACCAGGCCCCCAAGGATAAGCAAAACTCCCAAAATACTCACTTAGCCACTGCTAAAAGCACATGGGGGTCATGTTCACATTTCTTCAGCGCATCCACACTCTTGGTCTTTCTCTGGGGCCTTGCCTCAAGGAAGACAGCTTCAGACCACAGGATACCTGAAATTCAGAAGCAAACATCTGCCCTTCAACCTCCCATCTAGCTTCCTCAGGCTGCCCCAAAAGGAATATACTGACACCAACCACAAGGGCCTGAAGTATCCACCTACCCAGTACTCTGCTGAATTACAGCAGCCTTGCCCAGAACAGACTGGATAGTGTTCTGGATGCTAGCTGCAAGTTTCCATTCTTACCAAGCCAGCAAGTAGGCAATGGGCAATGGGCAATCCCATCCCACAGATTTCCTCAGTGCTATTATACCAGAGAGCCAGAAGCCCTTACCAGAATTGGGGCACTCCTGCAGTGCCTTGGCCATGAGTGTGTTGGCAATGTTCTTCAGCCCTGCACAGTACTCCAGCCGCACTGACTCCAACCTAGGAAGACAAGCCCAGGGATGTCCCAGTCCCATCTATCAGAGCACGATCGGCTACTCCAGCTGGCCTTCTGCCAGAGACCATTTTTAAAAGGCTTTTTAAATTTTTTACTATATTATTGTTCTCATGCATGTGTACACGTGCCACCACACCCGTGTGGAAATCAGAGGACCACTTTTGGAAACAGTTCCCACCACTGCTCCCAATGGGTTCCATGGATTAAACTCGGATTGCCAGGCTTGCTCAGCAAGCACTCTTTCCTCTGGACTTCTTGCCAGCAAAGGAAGGCTCTTGTCTCTTGGAAGATGGCTGGAATTCCATACTCTACAGATATGGCAGTACTGGCATCCACAGACTGGTACCAAGGCAGTAGCCCCATCTGAGATCCCAGGCTCCACAAGACCCAGATATAAGTG